ATCTGGCCCTTCCTCATATACTAGTTTATATAAGTTTATAATATGGGAAAGAATACATCTCACATACACTTATCTTTCTTTATGAGCAGAGGTTATATCTTTTACTTAGTTTTCTTATATAGCTTAACCTTTTAGTGGTTACCTTAGCAAGTGTTTATGAAATTAAATTGTATTTCAGTGTAAAAAGAAAAAAAAGCAGTAAGAAGTAATGACCATACCTAGCCAATTTTAAATCTAATGATATACTTTGTCATATAATTCTAGGTCTTAATTATGTATGCAATAGGAAGATGTTTAGGACACAACTTAAAATACTGAAGAAAATATCAATGATAGGAAAAAATATTTTTTCTCATCACATTTTGAGGGAGAAAATGAGAAAAATATACATCAGTACTACTTGTAAAATAGGGATTTTTCACAGAACAAGTGCAAGTTGGTTAATTTTAAGCTCTTTAAAACCAGTTATTTTCAAAATCATGTCATTAAAAATGGTAACTCTTACATGTCCCTTATCAAAAAACACCAAATAAAAAAAAAATCTCCCCCCAAATGCAGGAAACATTGTTCATTCATTTTTTTTTTTTTTAAAGATTTATTTATTTATTTGTGCATACAGAACTAGGGTACAGGCCAGAGGCTCAGGGGCGGTGAGAGGCTTCACCAGAGACAGAGTGGGGAGCAGAACAGGCAGATCGACGAAGTACACTGCTGAGGGAAGCAGCGGGCGGGTCAGGAGAGGTCTGCCACGCCATGTGGTCTCCTCCGGGGCAGGCGGGAATCGAACTCATGCGGAAGTGGCCTCAAATTCTCAGTGCTGTGCTTTAACCCGCTGCGCCACCAGGGAGGGCCAGTGTTCATTCATTTTTAAAAATATGTTTCTGTTCACATAGAAGGTATGTAAATATTCTCTCTATAAGTCAGAGTATCATCTACCATCATAGGTAGATGTCCATGACAATTCCAAATGTTGATTTCACTTCAGAGCAACCAATATATAGTGCTTGTGAAAGTCTAAACTTATATAGCTTTTTTGGAGATATTTCAGACCAGCAGTAGTTTATAAAAGGGAAAAATCAATCTTACATTAGAGAAAGGCAGCAGTTAACCTTATTTTTTTAATTGGGTATTCAGCAATGCTATGTACACTTTTCCAATATATGCTGTTCTTTAAAAGCATTCATGAAATTTTAAATAGTTCTGGTAAAGCAAAATTTGTCCTCTATCTCTTGCTAGCCAATTCTCTGTCCTAAGAAGAGTTACTGTTAACAGATGGTTATTGACCCAGAGATTTTTTTTCCTATGAAAATGTGTACATCTGAAACTGCAAGAGCCTTTTTTTCAATGGCTCAGAATTTTCTGAAATATATTCAAGTACATTTGAATATGTTGAAATATACTGAAAATATATGCAAGAAGTTAAAAAAAATCCACTACAAAGGGTGTGTAAAAAATAATTTTTTTTCTGAGATCAGCCTACTTGTAAATGTCATGTGTTTATGTGTGTGGAAAAGGCATTTCTTTTGAAATCACACAAATGCATTATTTCAGGAATCTGAATATTCCTTCTGGTGGTTAAGAAGATACTTAAGATACTATGTTATATATATATATATATATATATATATATATATATATATATATAAACATATACATTTGGCTCACTAAAATCCTATAAAATATTTAATATTGTATAATTTTATCATTATTAGTGAATGAGTAAGTGAGGCTGGGAGTAGGCAGTTCAACATGGTTAGGATGCCCCAACTCAGTGAAAAACTGGATGTTCAGATAACCAGTAAAATCCTGGAGCAATGGTCAAAAGCTCATTAGGGGAAACCCAATGGGGCTACAACCAATCAACAGGGAACACAATGCTGAAGCATGTAAGCCCCTGCCCTCCTCTATGCTACATAACTGCTGCTTCTTTTCCCCTCAGCAGCTACCCACTTGGGACCCCACTCTTTTTAGAAAGTTTTTCTGCTTCTTATCCAACAATAAATTTCTTGTTTTACTGCCTTGACTTGGGTTTTGATGTTGAATTCTTTCCTTGCCAAGATAAGAACTGAGCCCTCTAGACTGCAGCCCGATTCATGAGGATTACACAAACACTAAAGTTTTCAGATACTGCTGATCTAAATGGATGATAAATATTTAGTTTCCCTGATTGCAATGACATGAGAGACTCCCTTTACTATAATTCCTAAGCCAAAAGACCTATCATGCATAGTATCAAATGTTTACAATATAAAACCAAAAAATACTGATGAGGCAATAATCCAGATTAATTACAATTAATTTGATCTAAAAGGTAGGCCAGAAATCATCCTATAATATTGTCCCAGCAAAGTAAAGCAAGGAGATATAAAGTATGTCATCATAATTTTAGTATCATGCATGTACATGACACTTGTCTCTCTGTCAGAAGCTACCTTTTTGATTGTTTCTTTACTCCAGGCACCAAGGTGGTGTTCTATCTCACATGCAAGCTCTAACTTAGTAATATTTGGCAAACAAGTTGCTGAGCTGAGACAAAGAAATACCTGTTTTCAAATTTATTAACCTACCACCTCTAATTGTTATCTATTTTTGATACAGTTCTATACTCTCACATTTTATCTTGCATACATATCTTAGTTTTTATAATACACATTAAAAATATCTATTGCTTGGGCCCTCCCTGGTGGCGCAAGTGGGTTAAAGCACTGTACTGAGAAGCTAAAGCCACTTCTGCATGAGTTCAATCCCTGCCTGCCCTGGAGGTGATCCACATGGCGAGACAGACCTCTCCTGATCCACCTGCTGCTCCCCTCAGCAGTGTACTTCATCAGCTGGCCTGTTCTGCTGCCCACTCTGTCTCTGATGAATCCTCTCACTGACCCTGCACCTCTGGCCTGAATCCCAGTTCTGTATGCACAAATAAATAAATATTAAAACAAAAACAAACAAAAATATATTGATTTAAGTCCTGACTGATATATTTATATTTTCTTCAGTATTTTAACCATTTATCGAGTGTTTCTATTTAGAGTCAGCAAACATTTACTTAGCTCCTTCAGATCATTTCACCCTTAAAACTACAGCTCCCTTAAGAAGTTATTATTATCTCTGCTTTATAAAGAAGCAAATATAATCAGAAGTTAAATAACTTACCCAAGGTAACCAAAATCAAACTTAAATCCATCAACCAAGGTTGTCCCATTCTCTTTCCACTCATCTTTTTTTCCTCCCTATTGAAACTACAAAGGCAATCTGCTCATCAGAATTTAAGACTTCATGCCTCTTCCTAAAATCTGTTTTTTAAGCCCTACCTAAAAATCTGCCCCCTAGACCCTCTGACCCCACCGATCCTTCAAAATATATCCTCACTCTAGTGCATTTATTCACAATTTCTGTCTCGATAGTCATCCTTGTAACTACTCCTACCTACCTAGCAATGGTGCCTTTAAGATTTCAAGTAAAATTCTGCTAAGATAATATCCTTTTTGGAGACAGCAAAGACACAAGGGATCAAGGTGTTGTTTCAACTTGTTGTCTTCTCCTTAACAGTCTGTAAACTGTAGTAATTATATCAACATACTGTAATTAATTGATGAATAGATTCTTTAATGCATTAGACTATAAACAATTTGATGCCAGTGATCAGCTTGAGGCACCAATAATAACTAAAGACACTTCTAGACCCTCAAAGTAATGAGTACCTGCTACTTTGGGAAGAATAAAAATTTTAAAAGACTTAATTTTGACCATAAAAAGCAAGTTAGTGAAATAAAGTTGCTACTGTAAGCTACCCGAACACATGGGAAAATTAAAACCAATCATTCTTGATTTTTCAATAGCAGAGTTAACAAAGTCACTCCTTATGATTTGTAAGAAGTCATAAATGTTCTATTAGATACCAGGATAGCAAAGTAACTAATTTTTTTTCTTAGTTTCCTAAGGAGCAGAATGAGTAATCATTAGAAGCAAAATCTTTGTGTGATCATGATCTAACATCACTTTGACTGATATGCAAAATAGGATTTTGAGGGGCATGAGGAATCACTGAAACTATAAGCTATATTTATAAAGTCCTGGTTGGAGGAAAAACAGTTTTTTAGGAATTATGTATCTGCTTTCAGAAGGGGAGTGTCGAGTGAGCCGAGAGAAAGAAACAGAAGTTTTATTATTATATAATATAGCCAGTCATTTAACCACATACTTAAGTCAATGATTGCATACTGATTTGAAGTAACGATTATAATAACTGTTAACCTATAAGGTTAAACAGCAAAAAACACTCAGGGACTAGTTTATCTAAAATAAAACCACAACAACTTAGGTAAAGAAATACACAAGAAATTTAAACACTGGTAAGTTAAATATTTTAGAAGGGACACTAACAGTCTCATTTATTTCATCACCTTATGGAACCAAATAATATATATTTTGTATTATAAAACTTATTTTATTGAGATAGCATTGGCTTACATTATTGTTGGTATTTTGGAAGTACAGGATTACCCTCCCTCTTACCCACCACAGGTATTGCCACTGCAGTGCACCTGCCATCAAAACACCTGTAAATTCACTACCATTGTCCATTTTGTTCTCTTCCGTCTTTGTTCTCCCCTCCCCCCACCCCTTCCTCTGGAAGTTTTAATTCTATAGCTAGTTTTCAAGTTTGTTTTTTTCTCACCCTTAGTTTTCTCTGTATTCCATATATAAATGACACCATTTGGTATTTATCTTTCTCCTTCTGACTTATTTTCATTTAGCATTATCCCTTCCAGTTCTATCCATGTTGCCACAAGTGACATGAGTTTATCTATCTCCAAGGAATAGTCCATTGTGAATATACACCACATCTTCTTGATCTACTCTTCTGTTCCAAGAAAACCATTTTGAACTGAAGCTTAAGACATTATTTAACAGAAACACACAACTGTGCAGCTTCATTCTGTTTCCTTCTCAGATAAGGAAATAAACATATGAGGAAATAAACATTTTGTTTTCCTTACCTGTTGAGTTCCATCTGCACTTACAATAGGAGCAGATAGAAGAGAAATATCACTACTTAAAATCTGAGTTGTATCCAGTAGTGGTGGATGTTCTGCCATTATCAATAAGACATTAATATATCAGATAATCTTCCAACTCTGAAAAACAAAAACAAAAACAAAAAATAGCCACTGGGTATATGTCCTTAAAAATATAATATACTTAGGAATTATCTGATTCTTTAACCTAAACATAACTCTTGTCAAAGCAAATTTTAAAATACGCTATTGAAGACTTCTTTCTTGTCAACAGTAGGAAATTATGTTTCTTACAACTTAATGGCCTATCAACATAAAGAGTAAACTAAAATACATTAAAGCAAATGTATCAGCAACTTTTATTTCAATTCCACATCTGTCTGTCTAGCCCTTCTACCTGTGTACAGTATTTAACTAACAGTACTAGCTAGCTAAAATACAGTTAAGTAATGCAACTCTAACACGATTTTTTCCCCCTGTGAGCCAGGTATTATAGACTGAATACCCTCATCACCTTATCAGTCTACAATGAACTGTGATTTTTGTTTTCCACTGACTGCTCAGACTGCAAAATACTAGAACAATTTGTTCAGAATTAGAATAAGCACTTTTAAGTTTTAAGCTGTGACACGAATTTCTATCACTCTGGTTTTATTATTTTTTGAGTAACACCTACTTTACTATAAGTCATTTCAATGATAAAAGTACATTTACAAGTCCAACTATGGGTATTTATCACATGAAAAGTTTTAATATAAGCATTAGCCTACCATATATATAAAATCCACTCAATATATTATCTGCAAATTACATGTCAAGAACAGCACAACTGAGCACAATTATAAACTTTATCAACTCTATACTACAAGGCAAAATAAGAAACACTTTTGGATGTTTGCAGAGTTCTACAATTCAGTGGTGCCAAGATGTCTAACTTCCATAAGAAATTAAATTCAAGTTAATTATTTTAAATAAACTTGAACCTGTGCAGATTATTATGTATATATGATTTACCTAAAACAATTTCATTATATAAAACTGCTAAAAGATTTTTGCAAATATTCAATGTAAATTACTATTCAATGTAAATTACTACTTCAAGATTTTATGCTTAGGACCACAGTATGGAACACTATATTTAAACAGCTCATAAAAATCCATGTATATATACATGTACAGATATATACATGTATATATATGTAAATATATGCAATGTCATATACTATATGCTATATATGATGTGCATAAAAATGTACTTATGTCCATATATATTTGGCAAATCTAACTTCTAAATTCATCTGTACTAGTATATTTCATAAAGTCTAACAAAACTAGAAGATATTTTAAGTCACATCAAATTTCATGCCATACAATATAGAAAGTGTTAGAGTCAACATATTTTCCCTCTTACATGACATAATTTAGTTTAAGAAGAAACATTCTAGGGATGCTGACTTATGATTATAACTCACTTATTAAAAATTAGCAATTTAAAAAATAACAACCATTGAGCAACTTTTCTTTTATTACCAGATTCTATTTGCAGTATTTTATATACTGTTTTGCTAAAACTACAAACCACCATTATTATTTAAATTTTAGAATGTAATGTTGAAGATAGTTTGGTTTTAAGAGACAGACTGACAACTTCAGAAATACATTTTTTTTTTTAGGAGCTTCGGGTAATTCCAGAAATAGTGCTATTATAGATCAGATCTGAAGCCACATACTATATTTTAATACTGTCATTCTATTTAAGGTAGTAGCTTTTATTATTTTAAAAGCTGTAACATCAAAATTCATTTATGAATTGCTTTCTTTTATGGTCATATTCATTACACTATGTGCAAAGTATAATGCTGACTTTACTTAAGCTGGCAAATTGGAAACTATAAAACATACACAGAATACTTCATTTAGAAATCAAAAAATTTCTTTCAATCATGTGTAAAGAATGCTATTGGCTTCTTTCAGTCTCTTCTAATTTGGTTACTACTAACTTCTTAATTCTCACCTATCTTTTTAAACATCTCATAAAAATGCACATATATAAAAAATAAGCATTTATATATACAAATATATGCAATGTTATATTTAGTATAAATGCTACATACAATGTACATAAAATGTACTTGTTTCCATATATATTTGGCAAATTTAACTTTCTGTCTTTATCTGTATTACTATATTTCATAAAGTCTAACAAAACTAGAGAGTATTTTAAGTCATGGCAAATTTCACTCTAGAATATAGAAAGTGGGATTGACAAGGAACACACACCTGAAAAGCATTTATTTCTTTTTATAAGATTTGACATATGCAAAGAGGGGAAGGGATACATTTGTTGCATTTGCTCATTTCTGAGGAATAAATATTCCCTGAAGGCACATTTGAAGCTAGCATGGTTTGAAAATGACCTAAAAATTGTTTTTAGCAATCAACTTTTATACATATTTACAAGATGGCTCCAGCATATCATCATAGCTCATACAAGTGATACCTCTCCTGGATTTGGAAACTGGGAAGTCTAAAATATGAGTGCTTTTCTCACTGGGTCTCAGTAAAAGTTTTCTCTCTGGCCTGTAGAGGACTGACTTCTTTCTGTATTCTCACAATGGTCAGAAGGGGAGGGGACTCTAGTCTCTCTTCTTGGATGAAAATGTACTGATTCCCATCATGGGGTTGAACCTTGATCATCACCTCTCTTAAACCTAGTTATCTCCGAAAGAGCCTACCTTTGAATACCATCTGATTAGGGGCTTCAATATAAGAATTCTAACACATAAACTTTCAGTCTGTAATTCCAACCTGCTCCCCTCATCATGTCCTTCTTGCATGTAATGGACATTCATTCCATCCCAACTTAATTTGTATCAAAATAAGTCTAAAATCTAGCCTCATGTAAAGTCAGGTTTGTGAAATTTAAGGTACAATTCATCCTGAGGCAAAATTCTAGTTTAGCTATAAACCTGTGATACTAGGTAAGTCACATGTGTCTAAAACACAAGAGTGGAACAGCCATATGAGATATTCTCATTTTAAAAAGGAGAAATTGGAAGGAAAAATGGTGTAACAGGTGCCTAGCACACCCAAAACCTAGTAACCTAAATGCCGGTAGATCTTAAGGCTCAATCAAGAACAAGCATTGTTTTCATGATCTGCCCTCTGGTCCTAACAGGGTGGTAACATCGCCCCCATGGCATTCCTTTGGCTTGATGGAGCCAGGGCTATGTGGCTCTGAAAGGTGGTGGTCCTATCCTTTGAAATCAAGATGCCCTCTAAGCCTGTGCACTCTCAACTTATGCCAGAAATAGCAGTCCTGATGGCGTAAGTCACCTATGGGGTACTGCTTTTCTACATTTCAAGGATAAGACATGGTTTCAGCCTTTTGTTATTCTATCTCATTTTCTGATTCCTGTAGTCGCAACAAGCAGTGTTTCTGTTGCTATGATTCCATCTCTCCTACTGATCTGGTAAGCTACTGATTAGGCCCACCCACACTTATATCCTTAATCAAATAGTTGAGTTGGTCACAAATAGTTGAGTTGGTCAACAGAACTCTGCTGTTGTCTAAACATGCTTTCTCACATTGTGCAACATGGATAGGCTGAGAATTTTCCAAATATTTAAAATTCAAGTTGCCTTTTACTTAACAAATTGTTCATTTCTTTACTCTCATATTTCACTACATTACCAGTCAAAAGGAATCATTGCTCCTTCAACATTTTGTTTAGAAACTTTCTCAGTAAAATATCCAATTTTATCATTCATAAGTTCTACTTTTCTCAAAACATGGGAACATAAACACAACTCAATCCATAAAATTAAAATCTATAGGACTCCAGTGTGATTTCCATATTTGAAATCACAAGACTATTATGTACTCCAGACTTCCAGTATTACTTTTAAATATGGGATTTAAGAGCACTTGGAAACATTTGGCCAGAGTATTAAAACTACAGTAGTAATTATCAGGAAGATAGACTAATTTTTTGTTCTTTATTTCCTTCTCTTCTGGGTGGTATGAATATGGCTATATTTTGGTTTAAAATAGACAACTGATCAAAATTTTGATTTAGAAATGGTCAGTTAGAGTTCTAAGTAACTACAGAGTGGTTGCTTGACCTAACAATATAAATTTCCTACAAGGGAAATTTCAATAAATTTTGCGTGAACTCTGACTTTATCCAAATCACTAATTCATGTTACAAACTGCTCTTCTAAAATGTATTTTCTAACTCAGACCTTTACTTATTTATTTCACTTTTGAATAGTTTAATCTTCTAAACTTAACATTAGATTTTTTAAAAAGATACCAGCAGCACAATTTCCTGAGATGAATCACTCCGCATGCAAAATCACTCTATCATTTCTTATTAGAAATCTTAAACAAGTATTTCACATTTCATAGAATAATGAGGACATATTACTTTGATTTCCCCTAAGACTTACCTTTCAAAAATTATCCTACATTAAGTGTATTTCAGGAAAATGACTCAAGCATGTGTGTATGTGTATAAAATTAATGCTTTACTTTGATTCACCTTACACTTTTTCTTTTCATAAAGAAAATTTACATTTATATAAAAATTGAGAGGGAAAAGGATGGTAATGACAGTGTTAATAAATGATTTCAAGACTATTATTATCAAATAGAAAAAAGGGCAATGTTAATCATTTAAAAAACTTATGATTAGGGCCCTCTCTGGTGGCGCAAAGGGTTGGAGTGCTGCACTGAGAAGCTAAGCCAAGCCGTGGCCGCTTCAGTACTAGGGAAGGTGACCCACATGGCACAGCAGACCTTTCCTGTCTGCTGCTCCCCTCAGCAGCAGATCTGCCTGTTGATCTACCTGTTCTGCTCCCACTCTGTTTCTGGTGAATCTTCTTGCCATCCCTGCACCTCTGGCTGTACCCCATTTCTGTATGCATAAAAGAACAAATCTTAAAAAAAAAAAAACCTTAAGATTAATTCTGACTCCTTTTGTTCTGTCTTCAATGCCCACTCTCTCATTTCTTTGGTCACTTAAAAAAAAACAAAAGAAAGAAAGAAAGAAAGAAAGAAAGAAAAGAAAAGAAACACTAAGATTAAAACTGAAACTAAGGTTATTATATTTAAAAAA